CACCTAATGCAAAGAGAGAAGTCTTTGGAAAAGACCCTGATGCTGGAAAGATGGGGACGGCAGAGAATGAGAGAAGAGACGGGGACGGCAGAGGGTGAGATGGTTAGATAGCATCACCGAAGCAATGAACTTGAAATTGAGCAAACTCCGGGAGGCAGTGAAGGACAGGAAGGCCTGGCGCAATATGGTTCATGGGGTCACGAAGAGTTGGACATGACTTAACGACTGAACAACTGAACAAAGAGCTGACACCAACGTGATGGCATACAATCAATCAACAGCATTCCACAAAACAGTGGATTAAATTTTGGTTAGCTAATTCGTGGTTCAGAGCTGCCTGCAAACACAGCCAACGTGTTCCTCCACATATCTCACCAACAGTAAAAAAAAAAAAAATCTTACTAAGTTACTAAAGAAAGAAAACCCTAACGGCGCTATTGTAAAGCAATCTCTCAGCAGATCCCTATTTTCTGCTCACGCCTGGTTGCTAAGGATGAGGGCGTGGTTTCCTTTGGAGGCTACGCCCGTCGCTTTCTAAAGATAGGCTAGAACAGAAACCGAGTTGAGCGCAACCGCTCTCAAACTTAGTGCAAACTACGTTTCCCATAGTGCCTGCAAGTTTCACCAATGAGCCACGAGAAGTCTCAAAGAAGGGAAGCGGAAAAATCAGGGTCGCCTACGAGGAAGCCCGACGGAAGGGGAGGGACGGTGAGGCAGAGAAGAGAGAGGCGGTCGGCCTGGCTCTGTGCAAAATACAGTACTTCTGCTTCCCACCCGCGCCTTCCTTCCATTTGTGAGAAAACAATCCAAATGCAAGCGCCTCGGATTTGGAACAATATGCAAAACGAAGCGTTTTGATTTTAAGAGTTCTTGCAATGCTTTCGGTTCTCTAACAGCGTTCAGGACGCCTTGTGCTTTATTTTTTAGGGTTGACGCTTCCACTTCTCCCCGCAGCAATTCGACAGATGAACAAATACTGATAAGAATGTCAGGGTTTTGAGGCACCGGCGGTGAAGCCGGATCTCTTTGGAAAACAACAATCTCCGCTCAAAATATTTACATAGGGGCTGGAGTGGGGCGGCACCGGGAGCGTCCTCCTGCAGCTTGCAAAAGTTGCAGCGCGTTCAGCAAGCCGGTAGATTCAGCTTCTTTCCTTCTCGCGGATGCACGGTAGCCCTCCTGAGCGAAGGACCTGGGTATAAACGTTTGCAAGAATTTCTAAGTGTCGCTCTAAAAAGGGCTCGGATTTGCTTTCGCTAGAGAAGCACGAGTGCATCAAAGGCAAGACCTAGCTAATGTCTGACGGCCTCTCCAGCTGTTAGAGTAGAGCAGTGTTTTTCAAACTCAGCCACTTTAAAACGTGTGAACTTCAACCCCCCGAATCCCCCAGCCAGCATGGCCTTTGCTAAGAATTCTGGGAATTGAAGTCACATCTCAAGGTTGCTCAGGCTAGGAAACACTGCGAAGTGTGACTCAACCTTTATGACATCAATATATGTTAATGAGATAATGATGTACTGTCCTAATTTATGTGGCTATCCTCCCACCTATCAAAATATGTTGTCCTCATTGGTAGTGACTGTGGAAGGAGAATGTATTAAAAGCATGCGGATTGACTGATGAATAGCCAATAGCACATACCGTATTAGCCAGTCTCTTGTAAAATACAGGCACCTTCCCTGGAAGTTGTCAATGACTAATTAAGGCTACTTTAGTGACATGATCTCACACGTACATATATGGCACAAAATACAATAAAACCCACTATGGTTTTCCATTGGTTTAAGCTGGAAACAAATGAAAGCTAGTGTTGTGTGATTGGAGATGGATGGTTTTTCAGATCTTGCAAACTATGTTTTATTATGCATAGCATATTATTTGATCCCAGCCAATTTTGCTTAATATAATAAAATCATAATTAAACTCTAGGTTACCCACTCTGTAAGCCATCTCATTCTCATGCTCTCAAAAGCACAATTAAAGTCTTTTTCCTTTCCCACAGTTTTCCGTGGGATTGACTTTCAGTTAAGTGAACATAATACTATATATTGTCTAGAGAGAAGTAAGATCCATATTTTTTTCCATAAAAATTACTAGGAAAGACTATATTGCAGCATTCTTCAACCTGGACACCTTCCAGATGCATTGCAGCTGCATTTTCCCAGGCCACGCCATCTGAAATTCTGGGAGTTGTAGTCCCAAAAGGTTTGGAGAGTTCCAGGATAATGACTTCGGGCTTATTTTTACAATAAACTCCGTTGGTGTTTATTTGGTATTAGAAAAGCGTTCTTGTAAAGGTGCTCTGGATCAATTCCCTGAAGAGGGCGGTTAAGTAATGATACGTAGCAGCTGAGCAGAGCAAAGCAGTTCTCGTCCTGCACGCCCCCTCGGTGCAAGCACGACATTTAACTCTGCCGCTGTGATTCCTAACCAGCAGCTCACGGAGCAAATCACGGGGAATCCGAAGCTTTAACCCCGCCTCGACGATCTGCTCCATCCGGGCAGCGGCGTGGAGGAAAGAGAAGCGTCCCCGTAGGCCGTTTGTGAAGAAGCTGGAAAGGGCGATGAGCGCCGAATCGCTGACTTTGGATTGCATTATCCACCTCTTCTCGTACTTGGAAGTACCGGATCTGCTCAGGGTAGCTCAAGTGAATAAGGTACACCTGCTCCCTAACGCAGTCGCCGCAGCCGGCCGGGAATGGCTCATGCTTGGCTGATACCCCTCGGTACTCCAATCAGCTAATTGCCTAAACCCCCATGTGGCCGTTGGGCATGGGGCTTGCGATCCACGAATCGAGTTGCGGAAGGCTAGCCTAGACCACGCTAACCTCGACCCCTTCCTTCGTCTCAAGTCCGTTCATTTGCCGACAAGAGCGATGCGGCCTTGTCAAGGCGAGAGGGGAAACTTAAAAACTGTCGAAGGAAAATGAGAAGGATTTCATTTGAAAGCTATTTTCGAAAAAATCTCCTAGTTTAACAATAGAGCCTTTGAGATGGGAGAAGATACTGCGTTCTTCTTCGCCCGCTAGAGCCATCGGCGGCGCCCTCAGGACACGCGCAGCGCACCACCGAGGGAGGGGGAGCCGGAAGTCGCTCCCTTTCTGGGAACTCAGCTGGCCGTGACGTCATGTCCGAAATTTGTTTGATTTCGTGCTGGCTCCACTTTGGACACTTCCGCATTGCCTGCAGTGAGAGGGGGCCTCACCCCGCACTACTCTCGGATAGGCTTGAGGGCTTCTCATGGGCAGTAAAGCATTTTCTCCCACTGGACCCGACGCCAGGAATACCTTTACCAACTGAGCTGATGCCACTTGTACGGCTCTTTTGAGGGTGAAATCCAATAAGGCTTTCTTGTTTCTGCCTAAAGCAGCAGACTTGTGCACACTTTCCTGGGAGTTAGCTGTACATAGAACAAAATGGGCTTGGACCCTTGAGTAAACTCAGTACAGTTTAGAGTTATCCTGCAGTTTCTCAAGCATTGGTTGGGTTCCTATGTGATACTCAGCCATAGCAGGTGACTTTGTTGGCATGACACACTAAACTGTGATTTATTCAATCTACTCACTTGGGTTTGTAGGGCACACAGAACCATAAACTAACCAGATGGGCTGGGTTGGCACAATATTTTAGGCATGTTTGTGGTTCAGTGTGTGGCATGAACCCAAGCATTGTGGTTAGTCCAGCCATTGTACTTAGTATGTATACCATGAATTACAATTCAGTGTTAAGCATGAGCCATGTCACTATGATTTATTGCATCAACTGTGGTTAAAACAAATCATAGCTTAGTGCAAGCTGTGAATTCTGTATGTTTTGGTCTAGAGGATCTTAAGGAGCTGCTTCTGAAACCTGGCATTCCTTTCCTTCCCTTTTAGGCATGGAAAGAAGCAGCAGAGACCACCTTTCTCTGGAGGTGAGAGCGGCAAGCAGTGGTGGGAGGGCCTGGACTTCACCTGGGAATGGAAATTAGTGGATATGGATTGCTGGGATGAAGTTTCACTTCCTCTCAACTCTCTGCTCTTGGTTGTTGGGTGGAAGGGCGCATTGTACCTCTGCACACTCTTAAAAGTCAGTTAATAGACACACCTGGTAGCTTGCCCTGATAAATGGCACAGAAGTGATGTAATCATACTTTTTTGCTTACTAAGCCTTAAAAGTTCCCTTTTATAAGAAAGGTTAGCCAGGTGCTGCCACCTGCTGAGACTAAGCAGGCCTGATTGGTTCTTCATTGCCTGAGAACTCCATGGCGGTCTAGATGGGGAAGCTGAACTAAGAGTTGAGTTGACTCAAGGACATCATTACATTTTACATAATACAAATAGAGGATCATCATTTGAGGACCCTTCCATTTAACAGATGGAGGTGAAGGAAAAAAGGAAAGGGCCTTCTTGGCCTTCTCTTTAAAAGTGCTTCAGCATTTGGTAAAGACTGTCTTGTTCAGAAAAGTACTCATTTTATCAGAAATATAAAATTTATTTTAGCTCCTTATATTTGCTATTTCTTATATCCTTAAATGTGTAATTACATTTTATTGTTATTAACCAACCTTAGGATATTAAAGCTTCAGAAGAATACAAATGTTTAAATAAATAATTACATGTGCCTATAATTTCTAAATACTTGCATATTTGTATATTCCCGACCATTAAGAAATTTAAGTGGTTGCTCTATAATTGGTACTAATTGAGTTCTTGATATTTTGCTGCTCTCTTAATATTCACAGTACTTTGTAATTTTCTTAATAATACTGAGATTTGAAAAATTCTGAAATGACATTAAAATAAACCTTCCAACACAAAATGGAAGCCATCCATTTTTTTAATCTAATAAACCATCACAGTTTTAGAAGATAGTTGTTAAAAGTTTTAGAATAATTATTTACTAAAGCAGATTTGGAGAAAGCAACTTAAATTTCACAGTAATAGTGTAATTGTTTATATTTATAGAAATAAGTGTCTAAGAAGGTGGACTTTCTGCAATATCTCTGTGAGCCCAGGAATGCAGACTTGGAAAAAATACTATCTCCATCGCTCAAAACTTGAGTCTAAGATGACATCAGGACAGCCTTCTGCTGATTATACATGTAAAGCTATGAGAGGACACAATGGTATGTGAAATGTGGTAAGCCCTGAAAGTAATATTTCCTAGAAGAGAAAATACATTGACAATCCTTTTTCATTCTCAACTTGCACTATACTGTAGTTATGTATTATGATTTGTGTTCAGAAAGCATATAGGAACGAAACTTTCCTTGAAGTAAGGAAGTGTACAGGACCCTATAAAAGTGTGTGTGTGTGTCTGCATTTGTGGGTCCCACTTTAAAAAGCAAGAGCTCACAGTCTGAAAAAACATACCTGACATATGTAACACTGTTACCAATTATTTTCCCAAGCTGTAGCATGCCAGTCCTAGTTTTTGCTGGAAAATTGCTGAATGAGGATCCATATTCATCTATCTGTCCATCCATCCATATACATCCATAGGTTATGAACATATTCGCAGCTACATGTGCATATGTATAGATAGTAAGATGACTCACACAGCTTAGTTTATATATGTACAGGTATGCATATATCTTTATATTCATGCTGAATTGAATATTACAGGAAGATTAAAATACATTTTCTGTTGCTATTTTTGACTGGAGATTTGCCTCTTTGAAAAGCTCTAAAATGGTGGGGTCAAGTTGTAGAAGCAATCTAAAGATACATAATTTTGCAAGATGGGCCTCATTCAGCTCCTCCATTACTCTCATGAAACTCTGAATGTAAACATTTGCTGGATCAAAAAGCCCAATGAAATCATCCTCCAATACATCTTCTACCCTGGCCGGAATGGCCTGGCAGGGCTTGGGATCAACTTTCTACTTAGAAAGTGGAGTGAGGGAGGAAAAATCAATTGTATTGGTGGACAAAATGCAAAGGTTCTCCAAGTTTGTGTATTATGTACTTCTATCCATTTGTGATCCAAAATTTTTGAACTGATCCGACTGCTAATATTTATAGTTGAATGTAAACTTACAATGTGTTATGCAAAGTGAAAATATATGCCATGGGATTGATGGTTCAGTTTTCAGTAGGAAATAGTGTTCATTCTTCTGGAGAAATTCAAGTAAACTAGATATTCAAGCCCAAAAATATTTTGTTGTTAAACAAAAATCTGTTGTGTTGCTGCAGGAGTGATACATGATATGGCTTATCTATCAGCAAATGACCATACGTTTGCAACAGGAGAAGTAAATTCCACTATATGTACTGCATCTTCTGATGGCACAGTCAGGGCATGGAATGTCCAAGAGGTAAGAAAAAGGAGCATGAAGAGTAAATATCTTTAAAATGCCACACTTCAAAGACATGCAGAGAAGAGCCATAAAGACCTGGCTGTTTCCCAGGCCTTGGGGTAGGGTAGCTGATGCCCCCTTTGTTGGATGTCAGTTGATGGTGAGATGTTTTGGGGTTTGTCTTTTTTTCCCGAGTCTAGTTCTTTTTGTTTATCTGTATTGTTTTTATACAGTATCATTTTTGTGTATTATGAGCTGTTCAGAGTCATTTGGAGTCAGGAAGCATCAAATTGAATCAATAAATACATAAAAACTTTAAAAAAAAACAAATGTCAATTTAAATTATTGATAACTGAGCCTTCTGTTGGAAAGTTGGAGGTCTCAAACCTCCTCTTTCAGAAGACCTCTGGATCATCACACCCTGGTCACACTTCCTGCTTTGGGGTAGTGGCTAGCTAATTTCCTGCTGCTACCACCTATCTTTCAGGGGGTGGCTCATCTGGTGTTTACCCCTAACTCCTAATGTGCTTCCTTTCTGATGATTAAAAGGTCAAAAAGAAAACACTGAAATAATTTCTACACTTCCACCTCCTGGTCATGTAGCATAAAATAATGTGATTAGAGGATTCAGCCCATCCTTCCCCACCCCCCTTTAGAAGTAAACCAGCTTTACAAGAGATAAAATCAAAGGTAAAGGAACAGAAAATATAAAACATTCTGTTCAGTTTTATACAGTGAAATGCAAACATTCAGTGCTGTGAAAGATAATTTACAGAGTTACACCAATCATATTCAGCAGCCTAAAAAAAATCCAAAAGAAAATACATCGGTCTGTGCAGACCAGAAGATTGTTCTGCCAGAAATGAGTGCTTTTGGGCAGAATTTCAGAGATCTCATAAGAGATGCTGTTTAAAATTGTTGAATGAATGAATGAATGGTTTCATAAGTATATTCTAGAGCAAAAGGAAACGTAACTTCTATAGAGAAAGAAAGAACATTAAACTTAGAACACCAAGTAAGTAGAATTCAAACCTAGAGCAAATTCCTGGCTGAAACATTTTTACCTACAAAGATTGAACAAAAAGTAATGCCTCTACAATTATAAGTTGCCAACAGATGGCAGTACTGATAGAAGTTCTGACATGTTCTTTACAACGATTCTTTTACTTCAGTTGGTAGGAAGTTGCTGTGAGAAAAGGTTGTGTTACTGTTGTTTATGAAATAGAAATCTACAGTGAGTACTCATAAATGCACTTTAAGCAATATGCTGTTATTGAATTTTTGATTGCCAAAGGAGCCCCTTCAATATTCACCACTGAATGCAGATTGTTTATGGTGATGACTGCGCTAAGTGAGTACTACAGTGGGGCAAAAAAGTATTTAGTCAGCCACCAATTGTGCAAGTTCTCCCACTTAAAAAGATGAGAGAAGCCTGTAATTTTCATCATAGGTATACCTCAACTATGAGAGACAAAATGGAGAAAAAAATCCTGAGATCTTGCATGGAGCCCCAGATCGAGGGAGATTATCAGTGGTCTTGTATGTCTTCCATTTTCTGAGATCTTGCATGGAGCCCCAGATCGAGGGAGATTATCAGTGGTCTTGTATGTCTTCCATTTTCTGAGATCTTGCATGGAGCCCCAGATCGAGGGAGATTATCAGTGGTCTTGTATGTCTTCCATTTTCTGAGATCTTGCATGGAGCCCCAGATCGAGGGAGATTATCAGTGGTCTTGTATGTCTTCCATTTTCTGAGATCTTGCATGGAGCCCCAGATCGAGGGAGATTATCAGTGGTCTTGTATGTCTTCCATTTTCTGAGATCTTGCATGGAGCCCCAGATCGAGGGAGATTATCAGTGGTCTTGTATGTCTTCCATTTTCTGAGATCTTGCATGGAGCCCCAGATCGAGGGAGATTATCAGTGGTCTTGTATGTCTTCCATTTTCTGAGATCTTGCATGGAGCCCCAGATCGAGGGAGATTATCAGTGGTCTTGTATGTCTTCCATTTTCTGAGATCTTGCATGGAGCCCCAGATCGAGGGAGATTATCAGTGGTCTTGTATGTCTTCCATTTTCTGAGATCTTGCATGGAGCCCCAGATCGAGGGAGATTATCAGTGGTCTTGTATGTCTTCCATTTTCTGAGATCTTGCATGGAGCCCCAGATCGAGGGAGATTATCAGTGGTCTTGTATGTCTTCCATTTTCAACTTGCACAATTGGTGGCTGACTAAATACTTTTTTGCCCCACTGTATGCATTGCTGGGCCAAAAATGTAAAGATGGTGAACCAGGGAAAGCTGATTGTGTGATCAAGAACAAAGTGAATGGCCTGTGACAACAACTGATGAGTTTCACATGAGAAAGGTTAATGAGAATGGTTGATGAACAACTGGCAAATCAAAGGGAAATTGCTGTCAAACTTTTCATAGGTCATATTACTGCTGCTCTTCAATATGGATCCTTTGCATGCTGATGGCAGAGATTAAAAATTCAAGAGTTGAAATTTGCCAGCAATAGTTGTCATGCTATGAGAGTGAAGGTGAGGAATTTTTTTACAGCATTGTGACAGTTGATGACATTTAGGGCCCTTATTATGGCCCAGAAATGAAGCATCAGTCCATGGAATATCATCACTAAACTTCACCTGGTTTAAAAAAAAAAAAAATCAAAACCCAGGCTTTGGCAGGAAAATTCATGGTTAGTTTTTTTGGGACTTCGATGGTATTATTTACATGGATTTCCTGGAACCTGGCACCACTATCAACGCAGTGCTACATTGCAACACTCAAAACTTTGAAACAATTAAGCAGAGTTCAGAAGCATGATAAAAATTTTGCTAGAACATGGCAATATTAGGCCTCACACCTCATGAGCCACCCAAAAGGCAATTGCAAAGTTGGATCTCACTATCTTACCCCATCCACCATATAGTCCAGACCTGGCACCATGTGATCTCCACTTTTTCCTTAAATTGAAGGAATAGCTTCATGGGAATCTTTTGACTCAAGAGGTAGAAAGGACTGGCAGGATCTGGTTGAAGGGACAAGTTGTGTGAAGTTCTTTCATAATAGCTTTAAGAAGCTTATTCATCATTGGCAGCTGTATGTAGTGAATGGTGGTGATTACATGGAGAATATAGGTAACAAAAGAGCAGAGACATTATTTTTCATTCAACTTTTCTATTTCTATAAAAGTAAAAATGATTTAGTATATCTAGTAAAAATATTAAATATAATAAATACCCTTGAAACCATTGTTCCCTCTGCTTCAATTACCTTATTGTACATTAATTCTGAAGCTACTGGAGATGAAAAAAATGGTACTTTACCAGCCTCTCTCTACTGTTTCTCCTTAATTTTACCCTTTCTTTTGAAAAGAACCAAACGTTTTCCTATCTCCAGCAAAGGGAGGGGCTGAGGTATCTGATAAACAATATCTGTCAGTATTGGAATGTGCATTGGGAATATCTGAGTCTTCAGCAAACAGACTACATTCACATCATGCATATACTGAAGCAGGAGGAAGAGCAAGAAATGTGCTAGTATCCCACTGATACATACTTACCTGCTTAGTTGTTAACATTTATAGAGCAGACTTCCTCCAAAGCATTCAAACCAGTTTATGTTTTATAGACAGTGGCTTTTAAAGATGTAATTCAAAAAGAATCAAAGAAGTAAGAAAGACAGTGTATATGATATCTTAGTCAAATTCTCCACTAAAGGACACAGTGCTGTAGAAGGAGGAACAACATAGTGTTCCAGTCAAGCTAGTGGAATAACAGTGTTGTTAGAGGATATTTGTCCAAAGAAGTAGAAGAGACAACACACAGTGATCAATCCATAATATATGTTAGTATTAAGGCTTCAGAGCTGTCTTGTGATCTCAGCCTTCAGAATATTAAAGATCTGCCAACAATGAGAGAGTTTTTAACAGGAAGGTTCTTCATATAGAACAGTGCAAGCAGAAGAAAGTTGACCCACTCTATTTAACAGGTTGAAGAAATAGCATTAAATTACACTCCAATAAACTTCTCAAAGTGGAATGTTACTTTGGAGAAGATGTAGTGCGAGCTATATAAGCAATCTACTGTTTCTTCAAGAATGCAACACATGAAAAGTAGCTGATGAAGACATAACTGATGTAGATAACAAGAAATTAAGTGAAAGTATTACAAATTCAGTATTACAAATCTGGAAATTTTTTCCAAGGCTGTTTTTGTGACAATAATTTTCAAATTCTCTGATTTACATGGTCTTTGGGGGCATGGAGGACACAACTGTGATCCAAAGGAAGTTACATTTTATGTGAAATGAACTAAATTCTTTTAGGAATTTTTGGCCACAGCTCAGGACTTTGAAATACAATGAAGAAGTCTGACTCATCATCATGATCTAATGGAGAAATAAATTAAGTGAACAAGTTTCAACAGGATAAAAGCAATGTAATTTGGTTATTCTTTTTTGTAACAACAGTGAAAAGTTAGCTTTTCACACAAACAAGTGTGTTGGAAAAGAAACTAGATGTTTTTTCATGGAGAAATATTTCATGTTGAAAAGAATGCATGGTACATAAACATGCAATAATGATTGCACTAACAGGAAGATATTTTTTTTAAAAAATGCTGATCAGATAGAATGGATTTTCATTAATTTTTTGCTTTTATCAGGGTACGCAGATTTGGTCAAGTCCCCAACAGGAAGTTCCACTAGTAAATATTATCACATTTCCTGCATTTAACCTGGCAGCTACAGCAGACAGGCAGGGGACAATCAAACTCTGGCATGGGACTACAGGGGAAGAGCTTTCAACTTTTTCAGTGTTATCTTCTTCATGCTCTATGGCGGCCTACACAATAAAGAATAACCCATTCTTAACGGTAAGTAGCACACTAGATAAGTTGATGACCACTCTCAAAGCTTTCTGGCTGCCAAATATTTGTAAAACAACATATTTTAAACTTATAGAAATAAGACAGGCCTCTTTACCTGTGGCAGCTGTGTCAGTCTGAGATCAGCACCATCCCCTTGTGCACCCATAATTTCCTGGGGCCTCCATGGATATGGGAAATGAAGCCTTTCTCCTGCTTCACAGTTTAGCAGCATTTCCTCTGGACATGAAGTGTGGGAGTTTCCCGTTGTTTGGAACTCCCTTTTAGAGCCCGGGATTTCTCCCTCTCCCTAAATGACAAAAAATATCCTGTGTTCTCCATAGTTGCTTTGAGGAATAGGATTGTGCCTTTCCGAACACAAGAACAGTTTTGAAGATGCCTGTTTCCTCTTGATGTGGAAAGAAACTTTAGCAAGGAAGCTCAAAGGAGGCAGGGCACCAATTAGCTGCCACCTTTAGGGTTACTCCACTGGCCAGCTGTTGGGGGGAAAATATTTATAGTTCAGGGGTAGACATTCAGAGCTCTATAGAGGAGTTGATGGAATTAGATTATGGTCTAATTAGCTTAGCAATCTTTGTAGGCACTGACTTGCCAGAAATAGGTAATAGTACGGTATAGCTTTTGCTTACCCCATTCTGTAATGTTGAGTTTTATGAAGCAGTTAGCATCTTTGAAGATCATTCATTCTATTTTATATGCTTTCCCCTTCTTTGATTTAGGTAGGCACTGGAAAAGGCATACTTTATACCTTGGCAGCAACTGATCTAAGTCAAATTTTATACAAAAACGTGTTTCAGAACTGTGGTATGGAGTTGTCTTTGTGTTCACCGGATGGGCAATGGATAGTTGTTTGTCCTACCTGTACTGCTTTTTCACCAAAGGTATTCTATCTATATACTACTAAAACTCATTGTGTTTATCTGTTTGTTTGTACCCTCAAGTTAGCTCAAACAGTTTATCATACCACAACAATTTTTGAATCAAGGTACCTAAAATCCACTAACTTAAAGAACGCATAAAAAATCCAGGACCTATTACTCCTGTGGAATTGAAATTCCATGATGTTCAGACCAGTTTTACTTGCAGTGTTGTGGCCGTAGCAGCTTCCCCGCAGTCATGTGATCATAATTTCCAACAGTTCCGGCCAGCTTCCCACAAGCAAAATCAGTGGGAAAGCTGGCAGGAAATCGGAAGTCGCTCCCACTCCCACTGCTTTTTTGCCCATCTGTGATCATTCTATTTATCTGTTTAGGTAAGTAAATATTGACTTATTATTGAAGTTTGTTTGCTACTACAATTATTTTTCTATTTATGATATATACTCTTAGGTGATCACAGGACCGTCCAGCATTAGGGTAAAAAAATATATGGTCAGACTAAAATTACCGTATTTTTCCGACTTTAAGACAATACTTTTTTCTAAAATCCTTACGCTAAAAATTGAAGGGCGTCTTATTCAAGGA